TATTGCATGCAATTAGCATATCAATTCGATCTCAGCTCTGCCGTATACTTCATTTTTTAACTTATTGATTATTTGCTATTATAAAAAATATTGTTATAATCTTTTAAAGCCTCCCGATGTTTTCTACATATATCTCTGAAATATATAATGCTGTTGAATTCTAACTTCGGAACAGCTTTCTTCCAGAACTTTAGAAGGATTTTGATTTRAAAAATAGAATCAGACTGAATGGATTGATTGATGGATGAATGGAAGAATGGATGAATCGTCATAACAATATTCATGATGGTCATATTGATAAACTAGATCGGGAAGGAATTGATATGATAAATAGATCTTATATTTGTAAAACTTAAACGACCATTTCAATCTAAATGAATGAGCTCAGACCATCAATTAAGGCACTTTATGAAAAGATAAATATTTCATTTTGCTGACTAGTATGAAATATTTACTATTATATAAGTCCCTCTTTTTACCTTCTAAACACGTCGAGTGCTTGTTATCGACGAAATGCAAAACCAATCATTATYGATTATTACTAGAAATGCTTACAATACGAGATATGTTCTGTCAATAAATAKCAAKCAGAAATTCAGTATTTTTTCATAGTTGTTTCAATTTGCCGTTTTTCCTTCAAAATTAATCACGCTTCCCATGCGTCGTGTCAAAMACTGTTACCCGAGTCTTCGATAGGATAAATTGTTAATTTATACCGAATATTTGATTACTTGAATATTTCTCTTTGCCAGAAATTACAAGCAGCTTTACGACTTGTTGTAACATTTAGAAATAATTTTTCCCCTGTAAGTAAGCACCACCCCGAGTGCAAAAACATCTGCTTCATTCAAACGATTATAKAAAACGGTCATGTTTTTTGCTYGGAAAAAMCCGAACCACGAAGAAAATATTTGCGACAGCATGTTTAATGTAGTTTTTCCCTATAGCAATTTGTATGGTTATTGTGGAATGAATGAACCCAWAACACAGTATTTAAACCATTTAAAGGTCTGAAGCGAGTTTCGCTCTAGTTACTGCAGTCGCTGTTGCTTTGATACAAAGTTTYATGTATCAAAAGAACGTAGAATAGTCCGAGAGAATCACGTTAAGAGGGAATATTTCAATGTTGTTTGAGGCTATCTTATTGTGACAATGTCGTGGGCTGTATTGTTCCCAAAGAGTCTCTATTTTCCCTACTAAGGGTTGGCTAATTAACGAGATCAAAGGCTATTCGTAGTACAAAATGGAAAGTTTTTAATATTTAATCACTATCTGGCTGTTATACAATGCAAATCTTCGAACAGGCTCACAACGCCCCCACGAATAAACTCAAATTTTATCTGAAAGCCCTTGAGTTTTCAAAAGTATCATCTTGAGTTCATCGCAGATTGCAAGAAAACTCAATTCATGGTATAAAAAAAGATATAAAGCAAAGTACTGCTTGAATATTAGAAGAGAATATGGAAACAGATAACTAGATAAAATGTTCGGCCTGAATATTAGCACTAGCAGGTGAAAATAATCAAATATCGCCACATTATCTCTCTAACTCCACTCATTGGCTTACGCCTCAAACACGCATCTCCAATTGGCCCATCAACCCATAACTCCTTAATTATGACCTAAATAAATTACATTTTTTGTAAGGAACAAAGCACTTTGATCGCATTGATGCAAACAACCTTAGCCAGCTACTTTATCTTCGTCAAACCTTTCGTCTCGAATGACTGGCCTCGTTATGGATTGAAACAGTTGACCTGTCTTGTTCACTGAAGAAGAGCAACTTTATTTTTCGAGAGTTCTTCTCGAGTTGAAAACCAAAGTTCACGAAAGTATTTTGGGTTTAGATTCCTTACGTTAAACTTATTAGACATGTTTTAAATAGCCCGTCGGCGGTTTTCACCGTGATTTCAGAGGAACAGCGAAAATATGTCAGAGGAAAAAGAGAAGCTACTTTCTAAAGAATTCCTCTTCTCTGACGAGTATGAAGCTGAAGAGGAAGAGACCGATGTGAAGACCTACTCTTTCCAGACATTTTTCAACATTTTCAATGCCAATATGGGTACAGGAATTCTTGCCATGCCATATGTTATACGTTTGACAGGYTATTGGGGTGTGCTTCTTATCATTCTGGTAGGGATACTTGGAAACTATACCGGCAAGATACTCATAAAATGCTTGCATGAGAAYACTCCAGAAGAAAGCTTTAACAAACATACGTATGCCGACCTTGGGGAAGCATTTTGGCCGCGATATGGGCGTCGAATGGTCCATATTGTCAACTTTGTCGAGCAATTCTCCCACTGCATTCTGTTCCTGATAATGTGTGGCACCGTGATGCACCATACTTTCCCWGACAGTGGGATTTCGGAGAGTATCTGGATTACGATCACGTCGCTTCTAGTTCTGCCTGTAGCTTACGTGAAGAATATGAAGCATATWTCACATATCAGTCTGTTGACKGTGATCGTCGCTATGGGATCGTCGACTTGTGTTCTTGGGTACAGTTTGTATCATCATGGACAATGGAAAACTCATAATTTCTCTCCGTTCAACTTCAGGCATATGGCAATAGCCATGGGAATTGTCACCGTTACATATTCCTCGAATGCGTACTTGCCAGCCATCGAAAAATCCATGAAATACCCGGCAGAGTTCAATGCYATGATGAATTTCACSTACACCCTCGTGACCATTATCAAATACAACTATGGYATTCTGGTTTTCTTCTGTTTTGGTAAACACACCGAGCAAATWATGACGCTAAGTCTACCAAGTTCACCTTTCCGCGTCTTCCTTTCGGTCGCTGTCATCATCACTGCTCTTCTGTTCTACGTTGTGCCGATGTTTACACTTTATCACATCTTTGAGAACGAGCTGGATATTCCAATAYTGAAGAAACTRGGYAATGAGCCTTTGAAATGCAACACGTACTGTACGCCGAGACGCGTTTCAAGATTTCTCATCATTCTCGCGTCAATTGTGGTTGCAATATTTGTACCACATTTTGGTCTTCTCATGTCGTTTGTTGGAGGGTTGACTGGAACCTGTCTGGTGTATGTGTTCCCTTGCTTATTTCACGTGAAACTCCACCATAAAACACTTCCTTGGCATAACATTGCCCTAGATGTGATGATTATAATATTTGGTGTAGTAAGTTGTACATGTGGGGTGGTATACTCAGCTTTACAAATCGCTAAAGAGTACGATTTCTATAAGATGTGGGGTATAGAACCCGATACTGATTAAACTATAAGTAAAATAGAATAGTTCCCTAGAATATATAAGCACGGATGATCTAAGCGATAGATAATGCAACCAAAAATATTCAATGGTAATAATAAAAGGGATAAATAAATGGAATATTGGTGTGAAAAGCTCTTTGGAAATATAAGCAATAACTAGTAATGATTTACATTTTTGTGAGTAACCCTAGTGCTGATAAATTATCACACTTTCTTAAAGTACATTTTTTTTGTTTYTCATCTGGACGCCATTGTGAAACTCCCCTTACTTGGCGACCCTTATAGTTGGAAAGTATTTGGAACGAGAGGTCTTGGACTATTACAAATAGATAGAGAAAAGAATAGAGAACTTTGGGGTGAAGAGAAAGGTATGATTGAAGAATTGGAGAAATCTTGTAAAATCTGATTCAGACAAGCAATAAAAAAAACACGTGACCAAAGGCAAAAACCGGAATGGTGGACGAAATATAGACTGCTAGAGAAAGGYTATATTGGGTAAACATGTCGAGCCCTCAAGTCGTGAATGAAAGACCACAAGATGAACATGTTGACCACATTTAACAAGGACATCGCTAAGAAACGATTATACTGGTGATGACGTAAAACACTCGATAATTGACCAAAAACACATAACTATTGTTGAAAGGATAGCGCCCTTTTCGTGATGATAATGTAATCATTTCCCACTGGAACACGAACCGTTTACTTTACTAATTTTCATCAAAGCCATAACACTAGGCTGACAGCTAAGAGCTATTTTGAGTCGGCGCTTGCTTATGTAGGGGAGCACTGCGAAAACATTGGATTGTTCTAGTTTGTTTGCGCGTCTCTGTTGCTGATCTCCTTCATGCTGATTATAATGACCAGTCGATTATTCCTCGTCAAAACCATTTGTGAATGGTTTACCAGATGCTGTGATATTTCGTCCTTTGCACACAGAAAACATATCTGATTACGCCCCCCAAAACATCCCTAGCCCTACCCTACCATGTAGAATAGTCGTATCGTCTGTATATTACTCCTAAATTAGTAAATCTACTGTTAACACCTACAATTGTAGAAATCTTTTCGACTGTCTTATGGATATATTGAGCGCGCTTATAATTAGGCTCAAAGGTATTTCCTCGAATAACTTTTCTGACAATTAGGTTTTTGGTCTAATGTGGCTTGAGACTCGCGTTTATAGGAGTTCTTTATTCCTAAGTTTGCTTTTAAGTTCCTTATTACGAAGTAGATTAACAAAAAACTGAATCATCTACCGCAAATCAATGGTAAAAATGCGGTCAAACGCAATGTGATTTCATTGGCTTGGATAGCGATTATAATCGATGGTACAATCGACGGAAATAAACGAGTTTATAAATAAACTCAATAACAGCATCTTTCTGAAAACAAATTAGCGTCATCTTTCTAAAGTATAGGATTGTCYGATACTTTCTCACTAAAACTGAATTATGTTTTACTGAAGTCAACGACTGCAGATTATTAATAAATCAAAAACCTCAAAGACAAGCCGWCATCTTGGAAGACTAGACATCTATCATACGAATGAACAGAGTCCAAGGGAATAAAGTTTAGGGATGGGTGTTGTCTTGTACGGTTGAGACATAAGGGTGGAACCTAGTTTCTTTTGTATATTATATCAATTTAGGTTAGTTCAAAACTAGTATTAAAAGATATAAATTCCAGTTGTAGTTCGATTGCTTTATCTTATCAGCAATGTAATATTCTTGTATCGAGTTTTCTCACCGATCAATGACCGAGTACAGCCCGAGTACAGCCCGAGTACAGCCCGATTACATTTTTGTCAGAGAGCAATGTCCAACACTGACCACCACGAATTTAAACTGATTATTATGTGTGTTTACTGCGAATGATTCGTATCATCGTCATTTCTTGGAATATTCGAGTAGTTCGTGTTACACAAATCAATAAAAATCGTCATAATTTTTCACGCTATCCGATAAAATGTAAAGACTCACTACTACATGCTACTAGACTGAACGACTCTACTCTAGTAGCTCAATTCACGAGTAAAAAATGCATATGGTGTATCAATAGGACCTTTTAATCCAAGCTCAACATAAATATATTGATTCAGATTTYAGTAAGCAGGCATGCAAGTAGTTGACATGGTTCAGTGCTATTCGCACTAACTACTGCTAACCACCAACCGATTTGTTCCTTGAATTAGATTCAAATCGGTTTTTATATGAAAGTTTTATATCTAAACTACTTCGTCGGATTACAAGTCCATCTCCAACATTCTACATTCTAAGCTTATTATTTTCCTTGCGTAGATTGGATGGACATTTAAATGAACTAAATCTAGTTAATTATTTAGGTGACGGGAATATGTCTGCATGCATTACAAATGTAGAAMTGTCTCGTCTCCAGTCTCTTCTCTCGCATTTCGCAATGCACCAAGGGAAGGAATATTAAAGGTGATAAGATTTCCCCATGATGCTTTGCGAAAGAGRGACTATACCGGTTGCTTATAGGGTCTTATAGGGGTTTAAATCAATCAGTTTGACCCAGGAGGGATAGTCCACATTGTTTGTATGAAACATGCTTGTCTAGCATTATGTTTGAGTATATTTGTGTAGTTGATTACAGGTATTTCATCGAATATGAAATATATTATTCATAAAACATGACATTGCTTTTGCTATTTCTCATTKATGTTTCTTGTTTTCTTTCTGCAGGCTGAAAGTGAGTTATATTTGTGCTGAGAACAAAAAAGAGTTTAAAAAGTACTGGCTATACTACTGTTGTACAACAAGATATTTTATGACGATTGGTGGCTCGAGAAAAACTTTCTTTGTCCACACAGCTTGTCATCTTAATGCAGAAATCTGAAGGAAATACAGGAATATTTGAAATTGACTGAATACACACAACTAAAATTAAAAAWTCTAGTCTGAATATGATTCAAAGTCATCCACTGAGGGGATAGCCAGGCATTTCTTTTATCTTTAAAGCTAAATTGTGTTATATTATCTCTCATTAATGTAAGATTCAGAATGATCTATGATTTTTTTCCCCACCATACTAACTATGTGCCGACCAAAGCGCGCGATTCTGTTAACATCCGTTCCCACCCCTCCCCCATACGGGGTGATGTGTGTTCTTTACCTGAGTGTCAGTAGTGCAACGAAAATCAAGGCAAAAGCAGAGATCTGAACATCAACACCRCAACTGGAATCTAAATAACAAAAGAACTGTATAAATCATAATGATTCTCAAGGGTACAGTAATTTATTTATTGATTTATTCATTCATGTCAGCCGCAGTCACACCTGGTGGTCCAAACGGGTTGGAAAGTAAAATTTAGGACCGCTTTTAGCAAATTTTCAGTTGTTGGCATGAATTTTGCACGATTTCATGCCAGGACCCGTCCTCGTCGCGGTTTGCCATGCAGGACGTGGTCTCTGCACAGACGTCTGTCTTTATTTCATTAGTTATTGATAACTGTATACGTACCACATGAATGCGTATCGCAAGCTGGACTGCAGCTTATTTCTCGAGACTTTATCAAACCAAGACATGAAGTGGTTTTTGGAGTGCAAGTCCTATTTTCATAAAGAAARTTGCCACCACAGCACATTTTGGTGCAAAGGCTGACGTCTGGCTTCCATTCCCCCAAATCAACTCCTAATAGAATAATAATATACTTTATGCGATATTACCATTAAAGATTTCATGACTTTGTAAGTAAAAATCGCAAAAAGTAAAGACATTTAGATGAAGCTAACTTCTAAATTGTCGCCTTTATATTTTTACAACGATATTAGCTTAAGTTTTCATGCCTTCATAACTAACTTATAGCACTGAAAGAGGACATACCGTTAACAGTTACTTTTGAAACAACAAAGCTCTTTGGGTCGACGGTAAAATTGCCAATTGTTCCGTTCTTGACGATGGCTTCAACGAGTTTGGTATAGTTTACTGGTGTTTTGCTAGCATCTCCGTCAACATTGAATACTAATCCAAGAAACACGACAATGCTACCAGGTTTGAGAGTACAGTTTGACACTTCTTTAGCGTTAGTTTCTCTCAACATCTGACAAAAAGAAAAACAACAATTCAGCCCCGAGRTCAAAGTAGATAGACTTACTAATAAACTTCAATATTAAATTCGCAAACGATAAGCTTTATATCAATACAAGCCGTATAGAAGTAAGCCTCACCGTTTCTTTCATTGGATCGCAGACACTTTTTGCTTCAGCACTATTCGGATCTTTCATTTTATCATCAAATTGTTTGTTTACTTTAAACTTTGTTTCCATTTTCATCTCTGACAAAGAAGATGAATTTATGTTACTAATTACTCAAACTTCATTAAGGACTGAAAAARGCAGATCATGTACTTGATCATTAGTACTCATGAAGCCTGAGAATTAGGCCTTCGAGGGGGCCTGGGGAGAGAAGAAGGGTAAAAACTTCCAAATGATCAGTCAGAGAAGTAACCAAACATATCACATAATAAAAAAGTCACATGATTTCTGCTTCACGGCAACCCCAATCCGTGGATGATCTAGGATTTGACAGCCATGGCCGTCGTTTGAGTACAGCAGTAAAGAGTATCGGTGCAAGTACGAGTAACGTGTTTGAGTGCGAGYTATAACGAGTATCCGAACCTGCGCATGGCTTGCAGTTAGTGTTGCTTTCTTCTTTACCATTCCCAACACATTGTTTCCCGCCTCCAGAAGGTTTGGGATTGGTGCAAGTTCTAGTACGTATTTCTTTGTTAGCAACACCACATTTGGAGCATGCCCAACTGCTCCACTGGTCCCAGCCTCCATCTACMTTCTYGCCTGGAACTGAAAGAATCGCAAATATTGMAAAAGTAAATGGAAATTTCTTGAACTTGAAATAAATGTGCCCTTTTCCTAAAGAAAATCTGGATCTATTCAATCATGAAATTACTGGTGGTTGATTACCTGTTGTTGCCGATGTTTCCGTTGGACTTGTAGTTGGACTTGGTCGTGGATTCTTCATCGTTCCGCTTGGTTTTGGATGTTTCATTGTTTCGCTTGGTGGTGGACGTTTCATTGTTCCCGTTGGTTGTGGATGTTTCATTGTTCCCGTTGGTTTCGGACGTTTCATCGTTTCGCTTGGTGGTGGATTCTTCATCGTTCC